TAGTGGGTATATATTTTTAATGTCAATAAAATATTTTAATCATCTTTCTCCCTCAATTTTTATGTAAATAAATTACTTTTAATTAATTTATTGTTTTTTCTAATAAACATGTCAGATTCAAGAAAAAAAAAGAATCAAACTAGAATTCAAGAACACAAGAATCTTGTTAGGATGTCAAAAGATAATATTGATCATGCAACTTCAGCATGCCATTTTTCATCCTGCTGAAATGATCGAACTATTTATTTTTGTAAACTGTTAAATGGTTATTTTACCATAAAAATATCTTTCATCGCTAAATTATACGAAAGAGCAATTTTCAAATACGAAAATTTTGTAGAGAAAGAGATTCTCTAGCAATATTGATTCTTTGATTTGCACCATTCTATGCGTTTACTAAAGACTATAGATTATGATATGAAGATGACGAGACAATTTGAGTTACAAAAACTAGCTAAGATCGAGAATAAAATATATTTGGAACAATCAATATAACGTCACTTAAATTCTTGACATTTCGATATACTTAACTTTGATAAGACTATCTTTCAGACTACGAGTTGTTGGCCACCTGGAATCTGTGCAAACTTCATTGGATAAAATAAGTATAATACAAGAAGCTGTTCCGAGTTCATTATCGACAAGTGATGGCTCAAAAGAAATCCTGATTACAAGAAGAATAAAAAGAAAAGCAATAAGTTTGAAGCTGATTTCTCTCGTCTTTTTACGCTGCCTAATCATTATCTATTTCCGAGGCATTCCACATAGTTCTATGACATTTAGTGTTTGGACTAACGTTGATTTGCTCTATCTTAGCAAAAAAAAAACAATTGTGTATGACTGAGCAGTGTTATCATCGTACTGTACTGAGTGTCACACATGCATCCACAAACAATATGGCTTGAATAAATGTTATGAATGGATCATGATGGAGCTTAGATAGTTGACAGACGTTCACATGTACTTCGAAATAGTCTATTCACATTGATACAATTGAGCTTACACTATCAACATACTTCACTTGTCTTCGCTAGACCCCGGTGATCGTGTAAGTGTTAATCATTGTAAACATAACATCAGATTAGAATACACTAAAATTGAATTGAAAAGAACAAAGATAAAATTAAATTTAACAATTAAATTTTATCGATATTATTTTTTCTTTAAAATTTTATAAACAATAAAGAAAATAATAATTATAAAAAATATCACAAAACTTGACCAAATTTTATTTTCCATAAAATGAAATAAAATTACACTATCTCTACCATACCATGTTCCTCCACCAACACCTTCAATTAATTTTCCATATAATACATTATTTGGTACATAATAAAAAATATCTTTCAATGGAAATTGTTTATAAATACCATAAAGAAATGTAGGACCAGCACTAAGTATAATAGTTAAATGATATAAATAAAACCAACGATTTGCTGTTTTAAGTTGACTAATAGCTAATTTAAAAAATGGATGAAATTTTTTTGCTGCAATTATATCTGTATTTGCTGATATTCCTTCTGTACCCATATGAAATATAATATCTGGTTCATAATCTTGTTTATCCAAAGGTAACATAGAAGTAATTATATCTTGAACATTACATTTAACATCAAGATCAATATAGATACCACCAAAATGAAATAATAATAAATATTTCATAGCATCAATTCGTTGCATATCATGTTGATAATTTTCATAAATAGGTAAAAACCATGTATAATGAATTTTTAACCAATCTAAAATTTTTTTATGTGTCCACAATGTATAATTATAATTCGAATGTAATTCAATACAAGCATTAGCAGCTA